TTCAAACGTACTACTCGTTATAATTATATCATCTAGATAGATTAAAGTCGATTTTCCTAGGACAGGTTTTAGAAGAATGTCCATAGCTCTCTGGAATGTTGACGGAGCCCCACACAACCCAAAGGACATGCGTAAAAATGCATAAGTGCCCGATTTTGTGATAAACGCGGTTTTATGTATGTCTTCAGGTCTCATAGCTATTTGGTAGTAGACAGATGTTAAGTCCAACGTAGTCATGTATCTCGTAGACTTAATCTTTCTAATAATTTCCTCTATAACCGGCAAAGGGTAAACTGGGAATTTAGTAACACTATTAAGCTTTCTGTAATCGATAGCAAACCTCCAAGCCCTTTTCTCCGAGGGAGGGAAATCATTCTTTTTCCTACATAGTACGACTGGACTCGCGTACTCAGTATTTATGGGCGTTATTATCTGGTTCTTCAACATTTCCTTAATGCGTTCTTCAATTATTTGTTCTTTCTTTTTATCATACCTGTAAGGTTTAGTCCTACAGGGTTTGTCGGCAGTTAACTGTATATCATGCGTAACAATTTGACAATTACCAGGCCGTTCTGAAAAGAAGTTCAAAAAAGTACTCACCACTTGCTGGATGGCTTGGCTTTCATGGTCATTCAAATGGCTAAGGTCCACTTGCAATTGTTTCACTGGCTCCACCCTCCTATCCATTTCCAGCATAATTGAATTTTCCTGAAAATTCAGTTTGGCTTTCGCGGCCTTTAAAAACTCCATGGCCTAAAATGAACTGGACTTTTTTTACCATTAATCGCAAATTTTTTACCACAAAAATTAATACATTTGAAGGCTTTCATCTTTTACGTGTATTTGTAATGATAATTTCCCAATGCACTTGACAAGTTTGTTCCTTGACGCTGCTATGATTTCTGTGTTTCTAATTTTTAAATAATCGTAACCTATTAAAATTCTTCTTAAAAATGTATCACTCATAAAATTACCTTCTGCCCCTGTATCGATGAGGGCTTCTACTGGGTACATCGCCAACCAGGACTTGTATAATCGGTAATTGTGAGTTCTTTACCACGACCGTATTTAGGTATCTTCTTGAGGGTTTTTTCGAGACTTCCGGGGTCTGGACCCTCGCTTTTACAGGCCCCTCTACTCGTTTAAAGCTTACCTTTCAACTTCTGTCTTCTGGGTACGCAGACGGTTGTTTTCAAATTTCCTTTTTGGGCCTTGACCTTCGAGCTTCGATGAGTTAGCTTGATAGCTCTTTCCCCCATAAGAGCGATTTGTGTTTCTGGTCTGTTGATTTGAGGATTGCCTTCGGAAACTTTGAGAATACGATGCCCTCTAGCTTTTTCCGCTGTTTTGCGATTTTGGAACTTGACCGCCAACTCGAAGAGTTCCTGCAAGGTGCTTGGATTTCGAATTTCGAAGTAATCTTGGACAGCAGGTAGCAATCTTGGTAAGATTATTTCAATAATCTCCGCGTCGGGTTTCTTCCCATACAGCATATCCGTCAGCTTAATTTTTCGCAGAATAAAGTCCGTCAACTCTTCTATATTCCGTTGATAAAAATTGTATAGCTCGGCTTCTAGCTTTTCTCGGTCTTTCACTATGGGGAAGGCCTTTTAATAATGATCTTTTGAAATTTTGAAAGGTATATGTTTGGCCTCCGAATTCCCCTAATAAAAATTTCCCTATATTCTTCCACCATAGTGAGGCCTGTCCTCTTAGTGCAGACGTGGCAATGGCAACATTTTGTCTTTCAGGCACAGCGTATAGCTGGAAATGATTTTCTAGGCCTTCTAAGAATATCGCCACCGAATTTTTCCGTCGAAATTGACGTTTGGCTTGATTGATGCTCTCATCGTCTGGACCAGGTATCCAAATCCTTCTCCTTCCAATCAAAAAATGGTTCGCCATTTCTTGTTGTTGGACTTGTACAGGAGCTTCCATCCAGTTTTCGGCCATTTCAAGTTCGGTAAAAGTTTTCGGGCGCCAATGTGATGTTGCGTGGCCCCAACTTGTCCGGCAACAGTAGTAGTGACTGCTATGAACTGGAAGTTACACAAACTCGTTAAGAAGGGTTTAACTCTCTTTTTATTTCCACTTTAGAAGTTACAGTTGGGTTCAGTTGACGCTCACAAACTACGCCGACCCGGCAGTTAAACAAAAATAGGAAAGTACAACTAAAAATGAATGAGAAGATGAATAACTAACGAAGTCACTATATACGAGGCTCTATAATTGTAACTATCTTAACCGCGTTCTAAGATACAGCTGAGATCCAGCAAACTTTCTGAATAAGAAGTTGAAAGATTCAACTAACTGCCGAAGTAGGCACACAGGCTGAAACGTGCGGTTCTTGAATTTCTACCAAGCAACCTTCACGCTCGTGAATCAAGAAGCTCACCTACAAATCTCATTTCCCTTCTATTTAACTCAAAATTACTTCTGCTAAAAATTTGAATACTCTGCGCGTTTTACTAACATTTACATACTCTGGCATTGACAATTCCAGGTGAAAGTAAAGGCTTGACAGGAAAGATAGCTTAAACTTAAAATAAATGTTAGTTAAAATAAATATAAACCCTACACCTTACAATGATAAAACATACTGAATGTTTAGCAGTGATTAACAGATCTCTATAGCCGTGATTAATTCAACGTTATGGTGATAATTTACCTGAAGGATTGAGGATGTTTAATAAATATTAATTAAATTGAGGGAAGACATTCGTCTTAATTCGTAATCTATTATTAAAACTAGCTTAAAACTGATCTAGGCTATATCACATTCATTCGTATGAAGAAGAATATACTGAGTGAAATAATATAATTGATAAGTTAAATGACTCCTCCTCCTCAGGCTACGTCAATTGCAAATGAAAGATATTATGCTTCGCACGACAGAAGGATGTGAATCATAAACAAGTGTTACAGTAATCAAATATAATACATCAAAAGAAATGAGCAAAATAACCCACAGTTGTTTCTAGCTGCAAAATTAATAACGAAACATGAAACAACAGATGAGCTATTAAATAGTTTCCATAAAGTAGTTGAAGAGTTCTTGACAGCAAATTCGTTAACAAATAGGGTCTTTAAAATAGCATTTCTTTTTTAAACTTCAACTATTTTGCGCGGAACATATTTTTAATTACTTTTTACGCTTGCGTATAAGTATGTTTCACATAATTACTTTATTGAGATCTTAATATGAGTAAGTTCTTAGATTTCGTGTTTATACTGCGATATATATTTTAGTGACTTTTGATTTTGCTAATAATATCAGTTTTATTAATTTTTTATGCCTTAGGTAATTCGTTGAATCCACGAATATTACGTTTCTGTTTCAGAGTTAAGACGATATAGGTTTGGACTGAAGCATTTTAAAGGCCATTTCAATGTCTGAGCTCTACAGCACAGCTGACATCATATCTGCAGAGATTAAATTTATTAGTTTTTCTATTAAGTGAGGTATCTTAATTTTATGAGCTTATTTTCTGAATAAAATGCAAGCTTAGTGAAGTTCATCTCCAAGCTTTTGCTTTATCTTCTAGTTTCTGCAAACTATAGCATGTTCCTTCATTTCTTTGTGAAAAAGTTTAATCAGAAATAAAGTCCTTTTTTGGACGGGAAAGATATATCTTAAGAATTATAAAGAGTTTTAAATAATGATTCAAAAATAATAAATATGTTATTTAGTATTAGAACTACTTTTTATTTTTTTGTGCTGCTGTCTTATTTCTCTCAGTTAGTGCTTGTGAAATTAACAACAGCAGTAGTTTTTTTTTTTTTTTTTTTCTGTTTGTCAGTTAAATATTTGAACTAAATGACATTAAACAAAAGTTTAAACTTTCTAAATTAATGAACAAAAATTTATTTCTGTTTTGCTGGCATATGAATAATCCGGAACTTGCTACAGGTTGTATTATAGTAAATAATCTTAGTTTTTTTTATCTTAGGGTGTTTTAAAAAATTATTAAAAGTTAACATACATATTGTTATCTCTTGCCATATATGTTTATTTTGATCAACTTATTTGTGTGTCTAAATTTCTGATTAAATGTGATCTCTAATTAAATCTGTAAATTATATATAAGTTATAGAATTACAAAACAAATAATTTTAGTTTTTATCTTAGAGTGTTTTAAAAATTATTAAAAGTAAATATATATATTGTTACTGTTTCTTGCCATATATTTTTATTTTGAAGCCTCTCAGATGGTTTAGTGTTTAGGGGAGACTACTGCGGTGTCGATAGGCCAAGGTTCGAATCACGGAGAAGGCACTGTTGTAACTGTCGATCTTTTTATCTTTTCATAGGAGACAACGGTGGTGGCTTAATAGGTGCCTCCACACCTCCACAGTAAAATGGACAAATCTTCTGGCCTTTCTGGCCTTTAGGAGTGGCCAATGCTGCATAGGCAAGTGCCCGCCAGTGAATTAAAAAACATTATTTTGATGAACTTACGGCTGTTTTTAAATTTGTCTTTAAATGCATATATTTATGCCTTATAGAGTTACAAGCCTATTTATATGTGATATAACTATATATGAAAGGCAGTGATTCCTTAAATTACTAATTGTTAGCATTAATAATTACTGAAAGAAATAATCGTTAAAATGACGAACAATAATTTATATATATATCTATCTTATTTCTCTTTTTTCGAGTGAAGACATTGATGCATCTATTAAAGATTTTTTCATAAGGTATCGGAAATTGCTTTATATGTTGAATGAAATGATATTAGTAGACTCTGTTTATAGCCAAATTGAAAATATGAATTCTATTAAATCCCAGCCACAGCTGGATCTGATTGTAAACGTTTTGAATAGATACCAATATACAGACTTGACATTCAAAACTGAAACGAAGTTAATTGCTTTAGTTCATGACGGAAGTGCAACGTTGAGCAGAACCTGCACCTCCTTTTTTATCTAAATTATTAGCACTATTGCACAAATATTTATCGAAGGAGAATTATTCTAAAGAAAGACTTTTGACTCACCAGTGATTGCCTGGATTGCAGCGGGACTTTGGAAGGTTCATAACGATGCAAAAACCTAAATTCTACGACGAGTTATGAAACTAATAATTTCAGCTCAGCAATGCTCTCTGTGAGAAAAGGAATTTGCACTAATCAATGTAGCCGGAGCTATGTTCATGTTAAATAACGAAATCACGATAGAATTTCTAGATCTTAAACTGTTTGTCCAAACTGCATATATAGATAGTGATAAAAATCTCAGAAATAACACAGTAAGTAAAAAAGCTTAATGTATTCATCAGTCTACAGTCTGTCTATCTTAAGAAAACCTCTCGCAAGTTAGTCTACAACTGTCTGTTGCCGTAGAAACAAGCCTTGACCCATTTTCCGTAGGGGTGCCTTGAAGACGAATAACTCGTTTCCCCTCAGCCAACAGTCACCAAACACAAAATAACAATAAAGCAACTCTCAGCTCGCTCGTATTTGAAATATACTAGCCCTGTTACTATAGCGACTACACTGTGGCGAGGGCTTTTCTTCTCGTAGACAGAAAGTAGTCGCCAAGATCTAAACACAATTCTAACCCCATTGTCACTCAGCCAAATACCTTTAAAGACAGAGCAAAAGGCCTATGACGCACAAACATCTCTGAATTTCCCCCGAAGTGCGTTTATACTCAGTCCGGTTTACTGAGAACTACAGATTACCCTTTGCAGTTATACAAATACGTGATCATTTTCTTCCAGTTCTAATCGATACTGGTACTTCTTTCTATAAGCATCAAGATCAATAAAGATAAAGTAGATGCAGCACTAAAAGACAAATCTTTAATTCTAACTACATAGAACTGTACAGTTGAGGTAACAGGTGTTATAAAAAATGCAAAGGCTCACTTTAAAACTTTCATAGTGATACTGATCTTTCTGTTTTTGAAAACATTTACAAATCTAAATATAATTAATTTCAGGATTGGATTTTTATTAAGGATAATGTTTCTATTGATGGTCAAGCTGTTCGGAATGCAAATTGTACTTCCATGAAGAAACCATTCCTGAATAAAGGTGATGTCTAGCGAAGAGGTTCTTTTGTAATATATAAAATGTAAGCACGTAATTCCACCCAAATCAGTATTACTTACTCTTGAGGAAACTAGTGTCCTTAACGCTTTCTACGAATGTTTTGATACAACTACCTAATCACTTTCAGTCAGCCTTTGATTAGTATCTTTTGCAGTAAAATTATAACATCTTGTGTGTCTTGCAATCATCCAAAGTGTTTAGACTCTTGATAGACGTTAAGCGAATTATCGCTAAGTAACGACTTGAGAAGAGTATAAAAGACCCTTCTAATTCTTATTTAAAACTAAATAAGAATAAAGGGCATATTCTGTGCTTGCAACTAAACCAATCACGATAACTTAAAAATTCAAATGTAAAATTTAAATTCAAATAAGCTAGTGGCTAAACGCTACACAGATCATTTTAACGCGAAAATGGATCAAAATGTAACTGTCGTGGATATCAGCTACCTGCATTTATAATGCAAATCCTATCTTATCTAGCAACCTAGTAACGTTGCTTCGAGAGGCAACATTATGAGGCTGCTAGATAAGATAACTAGACATTCTGTCTTACAATCCAAAACACTAACCTTAAATACACACGAACTAATTTGCATTCTGGCGTGAAAACGGGAGAGAAAAGTTACAGTAAAGATCCAAAACATCAAATATCTTGTATATATATGTATCTTAATATAGAGGAGGCTTACAAAGTAACAAAGATAATGATTGTTTTATAAAAGTTAAAAATTTTGCTTAAGAACTAATTCATATCAATTAAAAACGCTAAACTTTTATTTCTCCGGTTTTTTGACATGCCTTCCTGGTGTGGTGGTCTGCACCCTGGGCGCGTATTCCAGAGGTCCGCGGTTCGATTCCCGTGAAGGCGTGGCTAATTTTTTATCTCTCTTGCTTCCAAAACAAAAAACTTAATGTCTCTACAACCTTTATCCTTAGAGAAAATAGAAGTCTAATGCGTTGACCGTACTGAAATTAACACTCATTAAGAGGAATCATTTAAGGATATTGATGAGCATTTTGACGGTATATATGATTTGGTAATTTTAAATTTAACATAAATAACTAAAATGCTTAAATTATTAAACCAGCATTCTCACATTTTTGCTTATTCAATTTTAGAAGCTTTAAGTTATAATAAATTCACCACAGAATACTTTTGATTCACGATATATACCCGTCCGTTCTGAATCTTCCAGAACCCCACATCATTTGAACACAAATAAATCAGCTTTTACACATAGAAATAATTTCAGCCAAATATTCACTCACTATATGCCCCTCATGTAATTCATATCAAGAAGAAAAATAATGCACATCGTTTAGCGCGGGATTATACTAAACTTGATGTCAAAACTGAGCCATTACCTTTCTCCTTATTTTCGGATCCGTTCGATTCCTTAGAAAGTGCTACTTTATTTTCGTCATTCGATCTTTGTAGAAGGATATTGGCAGATGGAGCTTGATCCTCGTGACAGATACAGAACGGCTTTTTGCGCTGAATTTCGGTTATTCCATTGAAATAGTTTACCACAGGTATTTAAAAATGCCACTTCTTCCTTTAAAAGAATACCAAAGATTTTAACTGAACTAAAGGAACTTAATTTCTCTGTTCGAAGGATGTGATTATTTCTTCAAAAACATTTTATCACCCCTTTGTACAAAGTGGATTTATTTTTACATGAGTAGCTAATTTTGCTTTAAAAATTAATTCCTCTAAATATGAATTAGTTCAAAATAAAATTAATTATCTTGGATTTCTAGTGTTCAGAAGCAAAATATTACTAGATATAACAAATGTTGCTTCTATTAAAGATTAAAAAAAAAACATATTTACTCCTTTCTTGGGTTACGCAATGTTTAAAGAAAGTGTATTAAACACATTAGAAAAACGTATTGCCCTTTCTTTGACCAGCTTACCAAGTAAAAAACCCTGTGAACTAATTCATATAAATTTCTAAAACGTTGAATAGAACTTAATTCAAAACACTGCAAAAGATACCGCGAATTCCCTACATTCAGTAGCAGCACTAAGTACACAACAAAACTGAGATGTTCTATCCGGCTTTTGTAAGCTTTTTAATCATGCACGAGAATATTCTGATAATTTTTATTTCTCGAGTTTTCTGGAAAGCAAAATCAATTATGAGATATATATTTATTAAATGCGCGTGCTCCTGTATTTTAATCCGATTGTTTGAATACTTTTTATCAATCAATTTACTTCATTTACCTTTCTCATCAATCAAATTGTTTTATTCGCAAAATTGCTGTTTGCACTTTCTCGTCAGCAGTTTCATTGCATAATTTCATTAAATCTGAGTTTTGGCTTCATGCTCTAGGTGGAAGGAAAAACATATATAGAAAGAAATCCAAATAAAGGGAAAGGAACGATTTTGAATAATTGTTCTTTTTTCATACTGGATCAGGAAAAAGTAATCAAAATTCTATGTTTCTTTCTTGTATTTTTTATTTTCTCAAAAATTATGCACTTTTTTAATTGTAAATTTATTTGAAAAGATTTTAAATTTCCCGAGTAATATTAATTTTGAGGCAACAATAATTGTTGACGTTTAATACAAATAGTGAAATCAGTAACATTTTAGGTATTTATTGCTAATCAGTCTGAATTAGGAATTCGATATCAATTAGAAAATGCTACCTTAATATTAGAAACAGGCAGTGACTCGAAATGAATAGGAAAGAAAGAAAGAAGAAAGAAGGAAGATTTGTTTACTTCATTTTAGAAATATTTAGAGATACACATTTTAGTACAAATGAATGGCGTTCTCTCACATTCTAGCGAAAGTTTGATAATAATAAATATTTATTTCATACAGATACTAATAAATATCAGAAGAGAACAGCAATATCATGTTAAAATTAGATGAAGTTTAACCTTTTATTCGTGTTAGATTTATTAAACAGAAGTTCTGCGTATTTGGAGAGAGACAGAGCAGGCTTCTCTTCTTCAAGGAACAAGAATACTTTGGGCTATTTCTCCGAACGTATGTGTAATTAAATAAAATGCAAAGAAAGGCAAGGGTTCTAGAACCATTTCCCAAACAAAAAATACAGTAGCGGCCAAAATTGTGGAAATCATTTGAAAATGTGTATATTTGAGGTTTTTCAGGATAAAGCTACAAATTTGCAGTTCTTAAAATGCTCAACCATTTCCTTGGCGGCCAGAAGTATACCCCATCGAGCACCTTTGGCTAAAAAGAAATATAAAATTGCAAAACAAGATATATACACTGATTTCCAAAAATTTCAGAAAAGTCACAAAATTAGAGAAAACATGTTCAAAATTAGGTCAATCCGTATAAAATTTTAATATGTTGTCAAATAAGAGTTGTTGTTTAAAACTGCAGCATGCAAAGTCTAAATCCTATTGCGTCATCTGCAAGGAGGATAAAATTGTATGTTTGAGAGAAAGCATGTAAATTTCGCAGAGATACGAAATGTGGTATAGCCTCTTCGTAACAATGACCTTCGCGCAAATGACCCGGCATCATCTGCCTGAAGAACTGCGATGGAGAACTACTGGGTGAATGGCAGGACAAGTCAGAAAGACGTAGCCAGATGGCTAAATGTGAGTCGTTCTGTTGTTCATAGACTTTGGTAAAAATTTCTAAGCACAGATCTAGCATCCAAGAGGTTCAGCCAAGGACGGCCAACCGCTCCGACGTGAGCCGATGACCAACAGCTGTTTTTATGCGCACAAAAAAATAAAACCGCATTTCCGACTCAATTCAGATCCTCTCATGCTGCAACCAACATAAGGCTGTTATCAACGTCAACTGTTCGTAGAAGGCTTCATGAAGGAGGTCGGTGCGCGAGGACACCAGCCACTTGCCGTGCCGTTCAATTCATGTCATAAAGAGAACATTTGAGGTGGGCATGTCAACATGTACTCTGAACAGCTGATCAGTGGAGATTTGTTCTCTTTACGGATGTGTCCAGGTTTATCTTCCAAAGCAATAGTAGGCATTATTTGATTGGGAAAGGACGTAGAACCTATTGTCATCTATCAAACATTCGTGAAAGAGAGGAGGCAATGTTTGTGTTTGGGGTGGTATCTGTTTGGGTGGATACACAGATCCCCGTGTCTTTACATGTGGAACCATGAATGCTCAGGCCTGTAGAGACATCAACGTTGATATTTATGTGCGTCCTTATGGCGGGGCAACAGGTGATAATTTCCTGCTACAGGACGACAATGTTAGTCGCACAGGTGTCATCGTGGATGATGTTTTGCATCGTGGCTAAATTGTAAGCTACTGAAGATAACCATCGTGGATGATTATCTTTAGCAGCAAACAATTCAGCACATGGAGTGTCCAGCTCGATCATCTAACC